AATTACAGTCCACTAAATCGTTAAAGCATAATTGTCCTTAGGCAATGTAATATGAAAATCTTATATCAGTTTTGCCGGCCTTTGGCAGAATGTTCAGAAAGAACACACATATATTAATATCAGAGAGATAAGAACCTGTCTATGTTTAGGCAATAAAATTGTAACTATATCAAATTGTTGCGTCTGGCCTGCAGATGTCCTGCAAATAGGTACCTAGAACGCTTGGTGGGTAAAATGACCGCCTGCGAGTGGTCACCACATGTTTAAAGATAAGTGCGATCGAAGGTTTCCCGCGGTCGGGGATATACCGATCCGTGGGTCTAGGATAAGGATTTTCAATTCTCATGTTAGCTACCTAAGCTAGGATTAAAAAAAAAATCAGTTTGAAATATCAACTCAACAGTGTTAGACGCTTGTTTCATTTACAGCCTCTCTAACACTTTGTGTAGGGTTGATCCACTTATTTTTGATTTACAGCAAATTGTTCGTATTATCCTATAGTCATGTTCACCAGGTTTATTGCCGTAATGAATCTTTGAAGATTTATTTTTGTTCCGTCAAATTCAGGCACCGAGTGATCAATTTCTTTTATATGTGCCCTCTAGGCAGCTGATTCGTCGGCCATGATGTATTGCTTTTGCTCTATTACACTGGTAATCATATCAGAATCCGACTGTTCTTGATCTGATGATTCAGATTGAATGAGAACAGCGGGGACAGTGAGGTTATTTATGTCTTCTCCTCTATTTCTTGAATCGCAGCGTTAAAATCTTCTGTCTCTGCTGGATCGTCTTCAGATTCTAGGGTCGCCGGAGAATTTGGGATGGTCGGTACAGAAATTGTTAAGATGTACTTTTGCTTTATTGTTATTAAACTCGATCGCTGTCTGTTTAGGAACTTAGATACTTGAGACCAATGCTGCATTAAAGCGGGTCACTAATATTTCGGCGTGTTTATTTAATGTGGCTCGTTGTAATGGCCGAATTTGTGTTAGCGACTTATACGATTTTTCGAAGCCATTTTTTAAGATATTTAATTCCGTATATAATTCACTCCATTCCATTATTGTATGGATATGAATTATTTTATATATGCTACCATTACTAGGTTCCTACCCAATGTAGCGTGATCCTCTATTACTGATTTCACCAGAACGCCCGTTATAGTGCTTACTACAACCGCCTTTTGCGTAGCTGAGCAATGTATCCGGGCGTCCACACTAAAAATGTCCATATATTTATTTATAATTCGTAAATGCTAAAAAAAGGATCCCTCTAATAAACTATCTGAATTATTTCCTGGGTACTCATAATGGCTATGATAGACGTGAAAGAAAAAAAAAAATGAAGGTATTAAATTTTAAATTATTATTTTACGCATTTAGCCGAGTCGTTCCAAATTGTCTGCTCTGCTAATATATCTCGTCTTTATTATTTTGTTGTGTTTCACATACAAGTTAAAGAGGAATTGAGCGATTTAACTATCGTCAATATTAGGAGCAGTATTTGTTTTGTATCCACTTTATTAATTCTTGATAACCAAACAACAGCCGGAGAGTGCAGACGTGTTTTGCGCGAGCTCCGGAAAAAAACCGCTCAAAAGTGAAAAACAATAACTAAAAATACTAGAGTGGTGTAATAAAGGCAATCTTATTGCTAAAAACAGAAAATAATAATTAGTGCTATGTATAAAACTAGTGCAAAGTTATTATAAAAACTAAGAAGTGCCACGAGTGATAGCTCAATGAGCGGCGATTCAAAGAATGAGCGGAGAAGCTCCATAGACCAGAGAAACAGTTATATTTCTTATTTTTCAACCCGTGATACAGAAGTGGAAATAACTTCTTCAAAGAGCAACTCAGCCCTACTGACCATTGACAGTGCGAGAGCACGGTCTTGTTCTCCCGCCCTACTCACACCAACTCCCTCTTCATGGAGCTTGCAGTGTAGAACCCCACCCCCAGCTTCGACTCACAGCTCACCAGCCACGAGCACTGCGACCTTGTTAATTTCTGCACCCGCAGCCACTGCAACAACAACATCAACGGTCGCCGTTAACAACAACGCGATTTCGAATGCGTTTGCAACTTCTGCAGCGCCGAATAAAACTAAAAAGCCAAGTGTAAGTACGAGTGCCAATATCGGCAATATCAAACAACAACAAGTGGGTCCGGCTATACAGACTGGCAGACCGTTACATCCAAATCAAACGGAAGCTAAACCCGCAAAATAAAATGGTTTGAAATAAACCAAAACAAAATTGCCCTAATAAAGGCAGCGAACAACCAGGGGCATCTAGTAACAACAGATTCGCCCTATTGTCGGAAATTGATAATAATCAATCCGAGTCTGGACAGGCTGTTCAAAAGAAACCAAAGCCCCCACCAATTTACATAAGGGAACAGAACTCAAATACCCTAGTAAAGAAAATTGTTGCGCTTGTCGGGAATGACAACTTTTATGTTACTCCCCTTGTTAAAGGGAATATTCATGAAACAAAGCTTCAAGCTAAAACTGAAGATCAATTCAGAGCTGTAACAAATTACCTAGACGAGGCTAGGAAACCCTAATACACGTACCAGCTCAAGAGTAGCAAGGGCTTGCAAATAGTGCTAAAGGGCATAGAGCCCGACGTATCCACCAATGAGGTAAAAGAGGCACTGAAAGAAAAAGGATTCTTCTCCAAAAATATTATTAATATTATCAACAAAAATAAAAAGCCGCAACCACTCTTTAAGGTCGAACTGAAGCCAGAAAGCAGAGCCTTGAAGAAAAATGAAGAGCACCCGATCTACAAACTGCAATACCTGTTGCACAGAAGGATTACTGTTGAAGAACCGCATAAGCGGAATGGCCTGCTGCAATGCACAAACTGCCAAGAGTATGGACACACCAGAAACAACTGCGGGCTTCGTTCAGTCTGCGTAGCTTGTGGTGGCTATGATGCCTCTGGCGGCAGTGTCTACAGTTGCCAGACTTGCATTGCTGTAGGCTGTGTCCCTTTCGTAGGCAGTTAAGGCAAAGATGTAGCCTTTTTGACTCTCTATACCGCTGATTGGGGTTCAATCCTAAGAATTGTGGACATTTTGTCAAATAATGTTCCCTAGACTCGCACAGGGTACATGCTGGCATAGTTGATGATGAAGCAATGAGGGTGCTACGACAAAATTTGCTAGCTACTTTTCCAACCTGTTTGCTAGGTGCATGGTTTACCATAGCGTATTCCAAATTTTCCATCATGCGGCATCTAAGATCCAAAAACGATGAGAATTTATCCCAATTTGGCAGCTCCTTGGAAGGCAACCCTTCTTCCCACCTCTCCTGGGTCTGAATGTCCAGTTTTGAAACGATGAGATGGATTAAAAGGCCGTCATAGATTTCCTTCGTAGAGGCCATAGTAGCCAGGGCGCGCAAATGAGAATTTGCCTTGTCGCTCAACTGCCGCAGGCTACTTGCGGATCCCTTCTCCACCCCTGGTAGCTTGAATAAAGACCGAACATGAGCCTGAAAGTGCAATAATTTATTATCAAATCTCGAGGTTAATAATTCCAAAGCCCTGTCGTAATTATTTTCCGTGGGCTCTAGAGAGCGAATTGCATCCAGCGCTATGCCGTCCAAACATGCACGAAGATGCTGGAATTTTTTCACCTTTGTTAGGTCTTCGTTCTTTCCCACTACCGTGTTGAACATGGCGAAGAAATCCGGCCAATCGATGCATGCTCCGCCAAATCGCGGAAGCTGAAATTCCGGTAGCCTGGTGGGCCGCGAGTTGCACTTGAAGGCGGCAGTGTGGCCACCGAGGATGCCATGCAGCTCAGTTGAATTTGCCAACGACTTTCTCTTTTCACTATTGAGATGGCGGCAGATCCTTCCTTTCGTCTCACAATATGCCGTGGTAAAGGTTAAGCGCGCATCCGACTCCAGCTCCTCGATCACAAGCCGTTCGAGGTTAAGTCGAGAGCTATCGAAATCAGAGTACATGCGCTCGATTAAATCCAACCGCACCTGCAACTCACTTTCGTCGAATTTGGCCAACTGCTCCTCTGTTAGAAATAAATTTAGGGCAGCCAGCTGGCGTACCATAGAATTTGCCTTTGCCCGATAAAACTCCTCGCCGTCTGGAGCGTGAGGCGCGAGCTCAGGTTTTTTCGTATGTTTGGTTGACATTTTGAGTTTTTATTTAAAGTCTGTAGGGTATTCGAAAGTCACCGCACGAAATTTGCACTGCACCTGCACTTGGGCCAGCGAAAACCAAAGACCGAATTTGAGGGTAATGACGGAATCGAAAACAAAGGGCAACGACCTTTGCCTGGCGCGCGAAGTTGTATAACACTTGCCGTTATGCAAAAGGTTCAGACTGTACAGCAGCCGATTCTAACTGTACACTGTATGTATGTATGTCGGTATGTGCGAGTACCGTGCGAAGCGATGCGAAAAGTGTTTGTGTGTTGTGTTGGCCCTGCCGCGGCACGTGCAAGGGGCGCTTAGAATTATTAAAACGATAATTTAATAATTGCTTCACTTTAACACAAGTTCACTATCACGTCGGGGTCACCAATGCTTAGAGGAGGCATTAATTTATGCCACCTTTTTTGCGAATGTTTAACGAATTTTAAACTATGCGGTGTGTGAACGGTGTTAAAAGAAAAAGCCGAGAGTATGGTTCGATTTCAAATATGTATGTTTTATTGCTGGAAGCGAGAGCGAACGAACTGCTTCGTACCAGCGATCAAAAGCGAATGCAAAAATGAGAGTGCGCAGGTCCGAGAGATCAGCGAGCGCAGTCGCTTATCTCGGCTTATCTCACCCACGCATGCAGATAGATAAATGAGAAGCTTTTGTTTACATTGTTGTTGTCAGTGATGCTGACCAAAATAGAAAACAATAAATGGTTTTGAAATGATTTTAAATTGATTTCTGCGGCTGCTCCCGACATGCTCCCCCGTTGGAAGAGTCATGCTTCCAAGTGAAGTGGTTTCAAGGGGCAGTACCGCCAGCTTCCTCATTGCCCGCTTGCATAGTCCAGAGTCGGTTCGGATGACTGCAACTCGTTCGACGCCATCCTCTCCGGAGATGGTGCTCTCGATCCTGCCGAGGCGCCACCGCAAAGGGGGTATGTTGTCCTCCTTGATGAGGACCATGCTTCCTGCCTGTATGTTGCTCACAGGAAGGCGCCATTTGGTCCGCTCCTGCAGCAGCGAAAGGTAGTCGGCGCTCCATTTGCGCCAGAAGGTTTGCTGCATTTGGCATACACGCTGCCACCGGCTCAAGCGGTCGATGTTCAGATGGGTGACATCAGGCTCATCCATTGCGGTGAATGTAGATCCAATGAGAAAGTGTGCAGGCGTAAGAACACTAATATCATCTGGGTTTTCTGAAATGGGACAGAGCGGCCGTGAGTTTAAAATTGCGGAAATTTCACAAACTAAAGTACGCAGTTCATGAAATGTGAGAATCGATTTTCCAACAACACGGATGAAATGATATTTTGCGGATTTGACCGCGGCCTCCCACATGCCACCAAAGTGCGGGGAACGAGGTGGGATGAAATTCCACCGGATCTCCATCGACGTAAGGGAATTCCATAGTTCAATGTTTTGAGGATCGCTCAGAAACAGCTGCCGAAGCTCAACAAGCTCGTTTTTGGCTCCCACGAAGTTCGTTGCGTTGTCTGACCAAATCGTTTGAGGCTTTCCCCTCAGGCTTATAAAACGCTTCAGGGCTGCTATGAAAGATTGCGTTGAAAGGTCTTCGACAACTTCCAAGTGTGTAGCCTTGCTGACGAAGCAAACGAATATGGCTATGTAGCATTTCGTAGGGGGCCTGTTTCTGACCTCTGACTTCGAATAAAAGGGGCCACAAAAGTCCACTCCAGAGATGACGAATGGGCGATTCGGTTGCACTCGGTCCTCCGGAAGCGGCGCCATGATGTGTTCGACTAGCTTGGGCTTTAATCTGAAACATTGAATGCACTTGTTGATGACAGCAGAAACCGTTTTTCGCCCTCCAATGGGCCAGAATCTCTGTCGTAAAGCTGCTAACAAGCTCTGTGCTCCTGCATGAAGGAACTTGCGATGAAAATGATCAATGATAGCTGATGTTATGTGATGAGACTTGGGAAGAATTATAGGGTGCTTGGCATCGAAATCCAGCTGCGAATTATGAAGGCGTCCGCCGACGCGCATTAGACCTCCTGCATCTATAAATGGGTTTATGGATAGAAGTTTACTCCTCGGCGACAGCTTCATCTTCATGGTTAGTGCCTTGCGATCTTCGGCGAAATGCACGCGCTGAATCCCTTTAATGAGTAGATGTGTACCACCTTTGATTTCCTCGACTGTAAGCTCTCCTTTATGCCGTACTCGATCCTTGCTGACCCTTTGAAGGAACCGATATATATATCCGAAGACTCTCTGCATTCTCCCAAACGAGTTTCCAAAACTTGCAACTTTGCGAGATGTCTATTTCCTGCGACAGCACCAATGCGCTGCGTCGACGCTCAGGAAGTTCCTTGACAGGGGGTGCGTCATCGGGCCATGTAGAAGAATCAGTGAGTAAGAACTGCGGTCCTTCACTCCAAAGCTTTGATCCCACCAGCTCAATAGGGGTACATCCACGAGATAAGATATCTGCCGGATTCTGTCGTGACGGTACGTGCCTCCAAGTCATTCCCTTAGTTCTCTCCTGTATCTGCGAAATCCTGTTCGAAACGAAAATGTTAAAGTCCGAAGGAGGTTGACGGATCCAAGCCAAAACTATTGTCGAATCTGACCAACAATGAAAAGAGCAAGATCGAGGTGCAATTTGTGCCACTTGAGAGACAAGTTCGGACAGTAAAAGAGCGGCAGATAACTCCAACTTCGGAATCGTGAGGGTCTTCAAGGGTGCGACTCTTGACTTTGAGCAAAGTAGGTTCGAAGAAACTATGCCTTGGTTCTCTGATCGAACGTAAATGCAAGCTCCGTAAGCTGCCATGCTTGCATCGCAAAATCCATGTATTTCGCACGATGAGTTATGCTGTAGAACAAAGCGTGGAAATTTCAAGCAAGCAACTGTGGCGATCTGCGACATGTGCTCCAACCAAGCGGAATGTAAAGATTGCGGCAGAGACTCATCCCAGTCGAGTTTATCCTTCCATAAGACCTGCATGAAAATTTTAAGTTTGGTTATGATCGGTGCTATTAATCCAAGGGGATCGTAAAACCTAGCGATAGCCGACAGAATGCTGCGCTTAGTTGCGGGTTTTTCAGTCCATTCGTTTGAGAAGCTGAAAAGCAAGCTATCCGATAGCGTGTCCCAAGATAAACCTAACGCCTTTGTAACGTCAGTTCCGTCGTGGAACTTTAAAGTTTTCTCCCGATCCGAGTCATCCACTCCTTCTAGCGCCGCAGGTTCGTTTGGAACACCATTTGCGAATTGGGAAATGTCCTCTTTCCAAGAGCGCCTTGATTTGTTGACGAATTTCAACGACCTCCTCAATGGTGTCTCCTCCTGCGATTAAATCATCGACGTAGAAATTTGTGCGTATGATTTTAGCTGCTACTGGAAACTCCGCTTCTTCATCGTAAGACAGCTGCTGCATTGCACGAATTGCCAAAAAAGCAGCAGGCTTCGTGCCATAGGTTACGGTGTCGAGCGAGTAAACTTGTACCTCGTCTTCTGGCCGATCGCGCCACAAAATACATTGTAGAAACTGATGGGGATGTGTAACCCGAACGCAGCGATACATTTTGCAAATATCTCCACACAAAGCAACCTTGAAAAATCGAAAACGAAGCAGGGTAGTGAAGATTTTTGGTTGAATGGAAGGGCCAGCGTACAACAAATCGTTTAACGAATATCCCGAAGTGGACTTCGCGGAGCCGTCGAAAACAACTCGCAGTTTTGTCGTTGTACTTTCCAACTTTTGGACGCAGTGGTGGGGTAGGTAATATTGATGAGCTGCAGCATTTTTAGTTGCTAGAGACATGTGGCCAAGGTTTAGATACTCGTCTATAAAGGCTTTATATTGCGACTTCAGCTCTAAATTTCTAGCTAATTTGGCCTCGAGTGCTTTAAAACGAAGAAGCGCACGATCGAATGAATCTCCTAGAACATCGAAACTAGTTTTGGCAGGAAGTAGTACCGAATATTGGCCAGATTCAAGCCGAGTGTATTCCTGCTGAAATAGCTGCTCGCATAGAGCTTCCTCTTTCGAAATGGTTTTTGTAGAATCTGCGCAATTGTCGATTTCCCAAAATTTCTTTAGTATCTCAGAGATCGACTCCGACTCCGAATGAGTGCTGGGCTCTTGAGATATGGAAACTAAAGATGAGCGAACGGAAGATCCTACTGTCAGACACCCTGAGACGATCCAGCCAAGTCTGGTTTTCTGCAGAGTGGGTAAATTGCTGCCTAATCGAATTTGTCCAATACAAAGCAGCTCGAAGAATATGCTTGCTCCAATAAGCAAGTCGATGCGTTGACTTTTGTAGAAGAGCGGGTCGGCGAGCTCGAGATTTTCCGGTATTTTCCATTCAGACGCGTTAAGATCGAAATGCGGGTGATAATCGGTTATTGACTGGGTGACAGCAGCTGAGAGCGAAGTGCTATACTTTGCGTTACTCGACTGCGCGAAAATATAAACCGATTTATCCGAAGCGAGCGAGGATTCACCGATTCCTGATATGGAGATGACTGACCGATGGACCTTGAGCTGAAGCTGATTGGCGAAACGAGAGGTGACGAAATTGATTTGAGAAGCCGAATCGAGCAGGGCTCTGCATGGCACGAACACGCCAGAGCGATTTTTTACGTAGACTATGGCGGTAGCAAGCAGCACGTATTCGGATCTAGTCGGCGATGAAGCTAAAGGCTGTATTTTGGACAAGGCTAGAGAGACGTGAGATGATCCTTGCGGAAGTATTTCTGGAGCAGGCTGGGGCAGGGTTGCAACGGGATTTGGTTCCAAGTGAAGAAGACTATGATGCCTCTGGCGGCAGTGTCTACAGTTGCCAGACTTGCATTGCTGTAGGCTGTGTCCCTTTCGTAGGCAGTTAAGGCAAAGATGTAGCCTTTTTGACTCTCTATACCGCTGATTGGGGTTCAATCCTAAGAATTGTGGACATTTTGTCAAATAATGTTCCCTAGACTCGCACAGGGTACATGCTGGCATAGTTGATGATGAAGCAATGAGGGTGCTACGACAAAATTTGCTAGCTACTTTTCCAACCTGTTTGCTAGGTGCTTGGTTTACCATAGCGTATTCCAAATTTTCCATCATGCGGCATCTAAGATCCAAAAACGATGAGAATTTATCCCAATTTGGCAGCTCCTTGGAAGGCAACCCTTCTTCCCACCTCTCCTGGGTCTGAATGTCCAGTTTTGAAACGATGAGATGGATTAAAAGGCCGTCATAGATTTCCTTCGTAGAGGCCATAGTAGCCAGGGCGCGCAAATGAGAATTTGCCTTGTCGCTCAACTGCCGCAGGCTACTTGCGGATCCCTTCTCCACCCCTGGTAGCTTGAATAAAGACCGAACATGAGCCTGAAAGTGCAATAATTTATTATCAAATCTCGAGGTTAATAATTCCAAAGCCCTGTCGTAATTATTTTCCGTGGGCTCTAGAGAGCGAATTGCATCCAGCGCTATGCCGTCCAAACATGCACGAAGATGCTGGAATTTTTCCACCTTTGTTAGGTCTTCGTTCTTTCCCACTACCGTGTTGAACATGGCGAAGAAATCCGGCCAATCGATGTATGCTCCGCCAAATCGCGGAAGCTGAAATTCCGGTAGCCTGGTGGGCCGCGAGTTGCACTTGAAGGCGGCAGTGTGGCCACCGAGGATGCCATGCAGCTCAGTTGAATTTGCCAACGACTTTCTCTTTTCACTATTGAGATGGCGGCAGATCCTTCCTTTCGTCTCACAATATGCCGTGGTAAAGGTTAAGCGCGCATCCGACTCCAGCTCCTCGATCACAAGCCGTTCGAGGTTAAGTCGAGAGCTATCGAAATCAGAGTACATGCGCTCGATTAAATCCAACCGCACCTGCAACTCACTTTCGTCGAATTTGGCCAACTGCTCCTCTGTTAGAAATAAATTTAGGGCAGCCAGCTGGCGTACCATAGAATTTGCCTTTGCCCGATAAAACTCCTCGCCGTCTGGAGCGTGAGGCGCGAGCTCAGGTTTTTTCGTATGTTTGGTTGACATTTTGAGTTTTTATTTAAAGTCTGTAGGGTATTCGAAAGTCACCGCACGAAATTTGCACTGCACCTGCACTTGGGCCAGCGAAAACCAAAGACCGAATTTGAGGGTAATGACGGAATCGAAAACAAAGGGCAACGACCTCTGCCTGGCGCGCGAAGTTGTATAACACTTGCCGTTATGCAAAAGGTTCAGACTGTACAGCAGCCGATTCTAACTGTACACTGTATGTATGTATGTCGGTATGTGCGAATACCGTGCGAAGCGATGCGAAAAGGTTTGTGTGTGTGTGTGGCCCTGCCGCGGCACGTGCAAGGGGCGCTTAGAATTATTAAAACGATATTTAATAATTGCTTCACTTTAACACAAGTTCACTATCACGTCGGGGTCACCAATGCTTAGAGGAGGCATTAATTTATGCCACCTTTTTTGCGAATGTTTAACGAATTTTAAACTATGCGGTGTGTGAACGGTGTTAAAAGAAAAAGCCGAGAGTATGGTTCGATTTCAAATATGTATGTTTTATTGCTGGAAGCGAGAGCGAACGAACTGCTTCGTACCAGCGATCAAAAGCGAATGCAAAAATGAGAGTGCGCAGGTCTGAGAGATCAGCGAGCGCAGTCGCTTATCTCGGCTTATCTCACCCACGCATGCAGATAGATAAATGAGAAGCTTTTGTTTACATTGTTGTTGTCAGTGATGCTGACCAAAATAGAAAACAATAAATGGTTTTGAAATGATTTTAAATTGATTTCTGCGGCTGCTCCCGACCATGCTCCCCCGTTGGAAGAGTCATGCTTCCAAGTGAAGTGGTTTCAAGGGGGAGTACCGCCAGCTTCCTCATTGCCCGCTTGCATAGTCCAGAGTCGGTTCGGATGACTGCAACTCGTTCGACGCCATCCTTTTCGGAGATGGGGCTCTCGGATCCTGCCGAGGCGCCACCGCAAAGGGGGTATGTTGCCCTCCTTGATGAGGACCATGCTTCCTGCCTGTATGTTGCTCACAGGAAGGCGCCATTTGGTCCGCTCCTGCAGCAGCGAAAGGTAGTCGGCGCTCCATTTGCGCCAGAAGGTTTGCTGCATTTGGAAAAACCCCCCCCCCCCCTCAAGCGGTCGATGTTCAGATGGGTGACATCAGGCTCATCCATTGCGGTGAATGTAGATCCAATGAGAAAGTGTGCAGGCGTAAGAACACTAATATCATCTGGGTTTTCTGAAATGGGACAGAGCGGCCGTGAGTTTAAAATTGCGGAAATTTCACAAACTAAAGTACGCAGTTCATGAAATGTGAGAATCGATTTTCCAACAACACGGATGAAATGATATTTTGCGGATTTGACCGCGGCCTCCCACATGCCACCAAAGTGCGGGGAACGAGGTGGGATGAAATTCCACCGGATCTCCATCGACGTAAGGGAATTCCATAGTTCAATGTTTTGAGGATCGCTCAGAAACAGCTGCCGAAGCTCAACAAGCTCGTTTTTGGCTCCCACGAAGTTCGTTGCGTTGTCTGACCAAATCGTTTGAGGCTTTCCCCTCAGGCTTATAAAACGCTTCAGGGCTGCTATGAAAGATTGCGTTGAAAGGTCTTCGAAAACTTCCAAGTGTGTAGCCTTGCTGACGAAGCAAACGAATATGGCTATGTAGCATTTCGTAGGGGGCCTGTTTCTGACTTCTGACTTCGAATAAAAGGGGCCACAAAAGTCCACTCCAGAGATGACGAATGGGCGATTCGGTTGCACTCGGTCCTCCGGAAGCGGCGCCATGATGTGTTCGACTAGCTTGGGCTTTAATCTGAAACATTGAATGCACTTGTTGATGACAGCAGAAACCGTTTTTCGCCCTCCAATGGGCCAGAATCTCTGTCGTAAAGCTGCTAACAAGCTCTGTGCTCCTGCATGAAGGAACTTGCGATGAAAATGATCAATGATAGCTGATGTTATGTGATGAGACTTGGGAAGAATTATAGGGTGCTTGGCATCGAAATCCAGCTGCGAATTATGAAGGCGTCCGCCGACGCGCATTAGACCTCCTGCATCTATAAATGGGTTTATGGATAGAAGTTTACTCCTCGGCGACAGCTTCATCTTCATGGTTAGTGCCTTGCGATCTTCGGCGAAATGCACGCGCTGAATCCCTTTAATGAGTAGATGTGTACCACCTTTGATTTCCTCGACTGTAAGCTCTCCTTTATGCCGTACTCGATCCTTGCTGACCCTTTGAAGGAACCGATATATATATCCGAAGACTCTCTGCATTCTCCCAAACGAGTTTCCAAAACTTGCAACTTTGCGAGATGTCTATTTCCTGCGACAGCACCAATGCGCTGCGTCGACGTTCAGGAAGTTCCTTGACAGGGGGTGCGTCATCGGGCCATGTAGAAGAATCAGTGAGTAAGAACTGCGGTCCTTCACTCCAAAGCTTTGATCCCACCAGCTCAATAGGGTACATCCACGAGATAAGATATCTGCCGGATTCTGTCGTGACGGTACGTGCCTCCAAGTCATTCCCTTAGTTCTCTCCTGTATCTGCGAAATCCTGTTCGAAACGAAAATGTTAAAGTCCGAAGGAGGTTGACGGATCCAAGCCAAAACTATTGTCGAATCTGACCAACAATGAAAAGAGCAAGATCGAGGTGCAATTTGTGCCACTTGAGAGACAAGTTCGGACAGTAAAAGAGCGGCAGATAACTCCAACTTCGGAATCGTGAGGGTCTTCAAGGGTGCGACTCTTGACTTTGAGCAAAGTAGGTTCGAAGAAACTATGCCTTGGTTCTCTGATCGAACGTAAATGCAAGCTCCGTAAGCTGCCATGCTTGCATCGCAAAATCCATGTATTTCGCACGATGAGTTATGCTGTAGAACAAAGCGTGGAAATTTCAAGCAAGCAACTGTGGCGATCTGCGACATGTGCTCCAACCAAGCGGAATGTAAAGATTGCGGCAGAGACTCATCCCAGTCGAGTTTATCCTTCCATAAGACCTGCATGAAAATTTTAAGTTTGGTTATGATCGGTGCTATTAATCCAAGGGGATCGTAAAACCTAGCGATAGCCGACAGAATGCTGCGCTTAGTTGCGGGTTTTTCAGTCCATTCGTTTGAGAAGCTGAAAAGCAAGCTATCCGATAGCGTGTCCCAAGATAAACCTAACGCCTTTGTAACGTCAGTTCCGTCGTGGAACTTTAAAGTTTTCTCCCGATCCGAGTCATCCACTCCTTCTAGCGCCGCAGGTTCGTTGGAACACCATTTGCGAATTGGGAAATGTCCTCTTTCCAAGAGCGCCTTGATTTGTTGACGAATTTCAACAACCTCCTCAATGGTGTCTCCTCCTGCGATTAAATCATCGACGTAGAAATTTGTGCGTATGATTTTAGCTGCTACTGGAAACTCCGCTTCTTCATCGTAAGACAGCTGCTGCATTGCACGAATTGCCAAAAAAGCAGCAGGCTTCGTGCCATAGGTTACGGTGTCGAGCGAGTAAACTTGTACCTCGTCTTCTGGCCGATCGCGCCACAAAATACATTGTAGAAACTGATGGGGATGTGTAACCCGAACGCAGCGATACATTTTGCAAATATCTCCACACAAAGCAACCTTGAAAAATCGAAAACGAAGCAGGGTAGTGAAGATTTTTGGTTGAATGGAAGGGCCAGCGTACAACAAATCGTTTAACGAATATCCTGAAGTGGACTTCGCGGAGCCATCGAAAACAACTCGCAGTTTTGTCGTTGTACTTTCCAACTTTTGGACGCAGTGGTGGGGTAGGTAATATTGATGAGCTGCAGCATTTTTAGTTGCTAGAGACATGTGGCCAAGGTTTAGATACTCGTCTATAAAGGCTTTATATTGCGACTTCAGCTCTAAATTTCTAGCTAATTTGGCCTCGAGTGCTTTAAAACTAAGAAGCGCACGATCGAATGAATCTCCTAGAACATCGAAACTAGTTTTGGCAGGAAGTAGTACCGAATATTGGCCAGATTCAAGCCGAGTGTATTCCTGCTGAAATAGCTGCTCGCATAGAGCTTCCTCTTTCGAAATGGTTTTTGTAGAATCTGCGCAATTGTCGATTTCCCAAAATTTCTTTAGTATCTCAGAGATCGACTCCGACTCCGAATGAGTGCTGGGCTCTTGAGATATGGAAACTAAAGATGAGCGAACGGAAGATCCTACTGTCAGACACCCTGAGACGATCCAGCCAAGTCTGGTTTTCTGCAGAGTGGGTAAATTGCTGCCTAATCGAATTTGTCCAATACAAAGCAGCTCGAAGAATATGCTTGCTCCAATAAGCAAGTCGATGCGTTGACTTTTGTAGAAGAGCGGGTCGGCGAGCTCGAGATTTTCCGGTATTTTCCATTCAGACGCGTTAAGATCGAAATGCGGGTGATAATCGGTTATTGACTGGGTGACAGCAGCTGAGAGCGAAGTGCTAAAATACGCGAAAATATAAACCGATTTATCCGAAGCGAGCGAGGATTCACCGATTCCTGATATGGAGATGACTGACCGATGGACCTTGAGCTGAAGCTGATTGGCGAAACGAGAGGTGACGAAATTGATTTGAGAAGCCGAATCGAGCAGGGCTCTGCATGGCACGAACACGCCAGAGCGATTTTTTACGTAGACTATGGCCTTAGCAAGCAGCACGTATTCGGATCTAGTCGGCGATGAAGCTAAAGGCTGTATTTTGGACAAGGCTAGAGAGACGTGAGATGATCCTTGCGGAAGTATTTCTGGAGCAGGCTGGGGCAGGGTTGCAACGGGATTTGGTTCCAAGTGAAGAAGACTATGATGCCTCTGGCGGCAGTGTCTACAGTTGCCAGACTTGCATTGCTGTAGGCTGTGTCCCTTTCGTAGGCAGTTAAGGCAAAGATGTAGCCTTTTTGACTCTCTATACCGCTGATTGGGGTTCAATCCTAAGAATTGTGGACATTTTGTCAAATAATGTTCCCTAGACTCGCACAGGGTACATGCTGGCATAGTTGATGATGAAGCAATGAGGGTGCTACGACAAAATTTGCTAGCTACTTTTCCAACCTGTTTGCTAGGTGCATGGTTTACCATAGCGTATTCCAAATTTTCCATCATGCGGCATCTAAGATCCAAAAACGATGAGAATTTATCCCAATTTGGCAGCTCCTTGGAAGGCAACCCTTCTTCCCACCTCTCCTGGGTCTGAATGTCCAGTTTTGAAACGATGAGATGGATTAAAAGGCCGTCATAGATTTCCTTCGTAGAGGCCATAGTAGCCAGGGCGCGCAAATGAGAATTTGCCTTGTCGCTCAACTGCCGCAGGCTACTTGCGGATCCCTTCTCCACCCCTGGTAGCTTGAATAAAGACCGAACATGAGCCTGAAAGTGCAATAATTTATTATCAAATCTCGAGGTTAATAATTCCAAAGCCCTGTCGTAATTATTTTCCGTGGGCTCTAGAGAGCGAATTGCATCCAGCGCTATGCCGTCCAAACATGCACGAAGATGCTGGAATTTTTTCACCTTTGTTAGGTCTTCGTTCTTTCCCACTACCGTGTTGAACATGGCGAAGAAATCCGGCCAATCGATGCATGCTCCGCCAAATCGCGGAAGCTGAAATTCCGGTAGCCTGGTGGGCCGCGAGTTGCACTTGAAGGCGGCAGTGTGGCCACCGAGGATGCCATGCAGCTCAGTTGAATTTGCCAACGACTTTCTCTTTTCACTATTGAGATGGCGGCAGATCCTTCCTTTCGTCTCACAATATGCCGTGGTAAAGGTTAAGCGCGCATCCGACTCCAGCTCCTCGATCACAAGCCGTTCGAGGTTAAGTCGAGAGCTATCGAAATCAGAGTACATGCGCTCGATTAAATCCAACCGCACCTGCAATTCACTTTCGTCGAATTTGGCCAACTGCTCCTCTGTTAGAAATAAATTTAGGGCAGCCAGCTGGCGTACCATAGAATTTGCCTTTGCCCGATAAAACTCCTCGCCGTCTGGAGCGTGAGGCGCGAGCTCAGGTTTTTTCGTATGTTTGGTTGACATTTTGAGTTTTTATTTAAAGTCTGTAGGGTATTCGAAAGTCACCGCACGAAATTTGCACTGCACCTGCACTTGGGCCAGCGAAAACCAAAGACCGAATTTGAGGGTAATGACGGAATCGAAAACAAAGGGCAACGACCTCTGCCTGGCGCGCGAAGTTGTATAACACTTGCCGTTATGCAAAAGGTTCAGACTGTACAGCAGCCGATTCTAACTGTACACTGTATGTATGTATGTCGGTATGTGCGAATACCGTGCGAAGCGATGCGAAAAGGTTTGTGTGTGTGTGTGGACCTGCCGCGGCACGTGCAAGGGGCGCTTAGAATTATTAAAACGATATTTAATAATTGCTTCACTTTAACACAAGTTCACTATCACGTCGGGGTCACCAATGCTTAGAGGAGGCATTAATTTATGCCACCTTTTTTGCGAATGTTTAACGAATTTTAAACTAAGCGGTGTGTGAACGGTGTTAAAAGAAAAAGCCGAGAGTATGGTTCGATTTCAAATATGTATGTTTTATTGCTGGAAGCGAGAGCGAACGAACTGCTTCGTACCAGCGATCAAAGGCGAATGCAAAAATGAGAGTGCGCAGGTCCGAGAGATCAGCGAGCGCAGTCGCTTATCTCGGCTTATCTCACCCACGCATGCAGATAGATAAATGAGAAGCTTTTGTTTACATTGTTGTTGTCAGTGATGCTGACCAAAATAGAAAACAATAAATGGTTTTGAAATGATTTTAAATTGATTTCTGCGGCTGCTCCCGACAACTGGTTCATCATCCTTCAATCTCATTTTTTGTTTATAAAAATTATTCGTGCTTATTGGTTCGGTTTCCAATCCGAATATATCATTATATTGTGTGCAAATTAACTTTCTCCTTAGTGATTCGGTTAAAAAAATTTATTTTTATTTAATTAACTTCACTTATCACTAACATTTCATAGGTTGCACTTAAAATAGTTCACTGCTCCGATCTTATACTTAATTCACTTATATTGGTCTTTTTCTTTCGGATATCAAAAACGGACTGCCGCACTTGGGCTGAAAGATTAATAATCAAACCTCGGCTTAAGAGATTTTATCTTCAAAAATTGATTAAGAGATTGACTCAAGAGAGTCGGAAAAATAGGATGATGAAATTTGGCAATTAAATCTGAAATCGAGATTCTGCCGGAAATCGGTGTTTACATTATCGAGCTTCGAGGGTCGCTTTGGGTCTCCGATGTTTAGAATATCGGCTGAGGATGTTTACAGAATCCGTTTAATGCGGAGTGTGAAATGATATGGGTGGGAACCAGTCGAAGGCGTAGTTGAATGAAATAGCTGACTACGGGTTTATCTTGGAGTCAAATCTGAATTATTTGGAAATTGGGCTGGGCTCAAAGTTGTTTATAAATCGGGTAAGTGGCCCTAAGTAATGTGCTATATAACTCCCCCATCCTAAATTGAATCGTCCCGATTCATTGGAACTGAAGGGTATATTGACTGTAATTGATTAGTCAGTTCGACAATGATATTTTCTTCTAGGGTGTTTTCATTGTCGGGAATATTGGTATTTTCATTTTCGGGTATAATATTTTCTTCATTAATTTCTACATGGGTTTGCCGTGGTTTGAATATTAAAAAATTTCTGTATTTAATTATAAGCATAATCATTAAATATATAAATGTAAGTATTACCAATATTAACGAAATTGGTATTTGGGTTTGTTTGATTTGAATAAAAGGATTTAGTATGTTAATATTATCGAATGAAAGTTCCGAATTATTTGACATTATATATTCGGTTACTAAAAAATTGGTATGTTTTCGAGCAGTGATGTATTCCAATATCTTATTTTCTACATTAGTGTAGGTTACATTATTAATTATAGAAGTGCCATTAAAAGTTACTAAATACGACCCTTCTAAATGGGTGTCATTGATTACATTTTTTCCGTTTACAAAAATGGCTCCTTCTTGGATTACATCTACATTTTTATTTTTTCTCTGATTTTTTTACATTTTGTTTTTTCTCCATTTAATAAATTTGTAAAACACGATCCTTCTGGATTTATTGTGCAGTAATTATTAAACAATTCTTTCTTAAAATTAGACATTACATAATACTTGTTTTTACATTTTGCGACGTGATTGTCGATTAATAATTTTCCATCTTTATGTGAAATTGATCTTGAATTGTATACTTCGCAACGATCGGTAATAATGGGATATTTTATGTATATAATAAAAAGTTCTTGGTGCAAAGCAATTTTAAATTCAGATATATCCAATAGGTCAGTTATAATTACAGGCTTTTGTTCATGTTTATAAATTTCTTGTAGGTCCTCATTGTTTAAAATTTTGGTGTTAAAAACATCAATTTTTGCAAGTGTAATTGTATCCATTAAATTTGTAAGATCGTAAGTAAGCAAACGTAAACGATATTTTCTAAGTGGATTTTCTTGATTTTTAAATGCAGATTTGAAATCATCAGATAACGTTTTTATTTCTTTAAATAATTTAGAGTTAATAACGAATTGATCGTTGTTATTTTGTATTAAATCATCAATTTTATTCTGAACAGCTATGAAATCATCATGATCTGGAGTGCCAGCTAACCATTTCCAAATAGTGCCTAATTCATTAATTCCTCGCTTTGATCTATTGGGTATAATTTGTGCGATAAGTATTTTAATTATTTTTAAATCCTGTGCTATTTCCCAATGTAAATTCTGGTCAGTATTTATAAATTCAGATTCAAGATTAATTATTTCTTTATAAAAACTTATATTAGTAATATGAAATAAATCCGCGTATGATTCATAAATAAGAGCATCTTTGGTATCCTTGTAAAGGAAGAAATCATGGTTTGTATAATCCATAATTTCGGCTTTGGATATAGCCACCATCAATAATAAGAATGTTAATGATATCATTATCTGGAATTTGAAATTAAACATTTTTTATTTAGCATTTAATATTGTCTTTATGAATCGTACGGTTTCGATTATTAATAATAACCTTATTAGGATGATTCTCCTTTACTACTTGTTTTTTGTATCTTGAATTAAGTTTGTTTCTTTCCCCGTGTTTTTTTTCAAAAATTACCTCACCTACGTGATAGTTTTTCCCTCGTTTATTTTTATTGTGAAAATCTAACATTTTTTCCTGAGCTTGTTTAAGCAGTTGGGGAGTTGTATCATGCTTAATTTTATTAAATAATATGTCATATGGTCTTTGATTAGTAATTGAGTGTATGGTTAAATTATATTTTTGTGCTGCTCTAATAATAATTTCTGAATAATCGACTAAATTAAGCTCGTCTTTAATGCAACGGGCAATTTCTGTCAGTGTCGAGTGTGCCCTTTCAATTTGTCCATTGGAGGTACTATGTCGTGGGTCGGCGAAATATAATGATAACCCATTTCTTTGTGCAAAAGATTTAAATTGGGAAGATGAAAAACTTGGCTCGTTGTCTAACATTATAGTTTTGGCTAGTGGAAATTGTTGTAAAATTTCCGAAACTTTATTTTCTATATTTAATTTATTTTGGATTTCTTTAACTATTAAATATTTTGAATAGGAATCTATACAAGTAATGAATATTAAATTTTGAGCATAATATATATCAATATGTAAATTTTCACCCTCTCTTTCTGGAATAGGAGCCTCTCCGATAGGAATTTGCACTGGGTGTCTATCGTATTTATTCTGATTACAGATTTGACAATTTTTAATATATTCTTTAAGTTTCTTGTATAAATTTGGCCAATAATATAATCTACATATTTGCTTATAATTTTCATCAAGCCCTCTATGAGCTCTACAATGAGTTTCCGTGATAATAAGAGCCTGGTCTTCCGCATTTTCAACATCTTGGACAAATATTTTCGTATATAAAAATGTATTAATAAAATTATCTTTAAGTGGTTTTTGTATTCTATATAAATCTTCTAAAGTACAATGAATTCCTATAGTTATATTTGGTGGAATATATTCCCTTAGAATTGATACCAAATTTTCTGGAGTATCATATTCTATTATATGCCTTGTATTTCCAAATGAGTTTATCGACTCATGTATTGTATACCTCCCCGTTGCTATTAGCAGTTGTTGCTTAAACTGGTTTAAGGGCTTTCGGGTTTCTTGTATAACATTCTCAAAACTACTCTCTGCTGAATGCTGAGTGTTTTGATCTGAGACCGATTCATTACTTTCTGTCAAGTTATTTATTTGGATTCTTGATAAGGCATCTGCGACAACATTTGTTACTCCTGGCTTATAAATAATTTTTGGTGAATAACTTTCAATAAAAGAATACCATCTCTTCATTTCAATATTTGGGTTTTTTTGAGAAATGGAAAATGATAAAGGTTGATGATCTGTATAGATCTCACTATGGCTAAAAGTTCCTTTTTATTAGTAGCATATAATTGTTCAGTTTTGGATAAAGTTTTAGAAATAAAAGTAATTGGTTTTCCTTCTTGAGAGAGAACAGCTCCAATTGCTAAATCAGATGCGTCAGTGGTTAAAGTAAATTTTTTATTATAATCCGGTTGTACTAATTCTATTTGTGCGATTAAATTATCTTTGAGCTCGTTAAAAGCTCTTACAGCTGAATCATCCAACTGTATGAAAGTTCTACGTGAAGCTTTTTTAGATACTTTGCCAGTTTCGCCTTCCAAATATTTGGTTAATGGTTTTGCAATTTTGGCGTAATTTTGCACGAATTTTCTGTAATATCCTGTTAGGCCTAGGAAGCTTCTAAGCTCTCGGATATTTTTTGGAATTGGGTATTTTAAAATGGTAGAAATTTTTTCGGGATCGGTTTTGATCACATTGTGAGATACAACGTAACCAAGAAAATTTGTTTCTAATTTAAAGAACTTTGATTTTTCAATAGAAATTTTCATGTTTGCGTTTAGCAAAATTTTAATTATGACAATTAAATCTTTGTAATGTTGTTCGACAGTATTTGAAAAAATAATAATGTCATCCATATAGACATGACAAATTTT